GGAAAAGTGTTCATACACACATATATTATTCGTTGGCTAGAGTTATTTTTAGAATGGTAATTGCCTCATGTAAATGGCTCAGTAATCATTGTTCTTTAAAAATACAAACACCTACAAAATTAGGACCTCGTTTCACTTTATGAATAGGTGTTTGACATTAGTAAAATTACAGGACAGTAAGCGCAAGAAAAAACTAAACTCTCTCGAATTAATGATATGCAGAAATGCGTTAAAAAAATCTTTTGCAACAATGATCATTTATCACATACATGTCCATTTATGGTTCTCAATCATCATGTATAAACAACTAAATTTCAGAGAGATGGTCCTCAGTTCGAGTTTTTCAAGGTGTATGTTGAAGTCGTAAACAGGTCAAATTAGCTTGCAATTTATCTTAATACTCAAGATTGAGGTTTGAAAATAGTCCTAAACTCCTTGGAACTTACATTTTTTATAGTACATACAGTATTTTCATACTATTCCATAGAATGAGCAATTAGTATATGAAATGCCCAACATGATCACCTTGAAAAGATTGTTCATTATTACAAGTATGCCGTTTTTAGTGCCTGGACCGTCTTTTTTACGCTCACATGCCAATACTTTACAACTTGAGGATCATGCCTTATCATTTTGTATCGGAGCTTGTATTTGATTTTCTGGTCATTCAGAAACAAACTGCTCAATTTCCTTAAGCTATTTATGTGTTCATTTACATTAAAAATAGGTCAAAATGGTCCATAAATTAAATTGGTATTAATTAAGTGTACCGATAAGTTAATGATGATATAGTAAATTATTTCCTATTCTAGTAAGATATTAATACTTTATTTTTGGTTTATTATTTAATGGCTCTTGAAATGTTAAACGTAATGGATTATTCAAACTGTCAAGGGTCGGACTTAGTACTATTCACTAACAATAATGACAATGGCAGAATAAGCCTTTAGGTGGTAAAATGGGTGGCCTGGTAGCTTTTAATTATGGATTGTCAACATGAATTATTATATGCTAACCGTAGGCGTTGTGTGATGGTGTTGGGTCAATTCCATTCGCTATTTGCAATTTCATAGTATGCATAGTTGAGCATAGCGCTAAGAGTAGCTATTTCATTGGACATAACAATAGGTGTCTGACTTCTAAACTCTAGTTTGATTTGCTATGTTTCCGAAATGGTTGTCCATAAAATAGAATTTAAAAAGTACATATTATTCAAATATTCAAATGTTCTTCTCTGATTATTTCCTACTCATCCTCAATATCAAACTCTAAGACAAACTGTTCTTGTTCTTGTAATCACATTATATATACTAATTTTATAAATCATGATTGCAGGAAATTTGTATACTGATTAAGATAAATTGTTTATAAATGAATACTAGATTACAATAGGACGTCGGATTAATATCACACTGAATAGACTATATAATATTAGTTGTTGTTGGCCAAATTGTCAAAACTTTGGAGTCTGAATAAGACTTTGAAACTAAGATTTTAATGAAAATTGGGGCAGCTGGCCTGGACCTGTTGAATAGTTTGGCACTGCACCCTTTATTTTAAGTACAGCCACCGGGTACTGAACTAAAATCAGTATTGTTTGGGTTTTAGTGGTTATGTTGACCTTATCTATACACAAACTAACTAAACACTTTATTATCTAAATACTATTTATAGTATAAAAAGTCAATATTAATTTGGCTTTCATGCTCGTCACATAACTATAACTAATAAATATTTCTTATAACTGCAAACTAATATCTAATGTAGGAAGAAATGCAAGATATGACCATGATAATTACGTATTTTTTCATAACCTATACGAGTTCACAAACTTATATCTAAGGAAGAACTAGGGTGATGTTGATGAGATCCAGCCTCAAAGCTTTATTGATTGGATGATTCTGGTTTTTCACCTAACGAACGATGTACACCGACACACTTAATTCAAATGTAACTCATTACAGATGACTTGGAATAGTTTGTTGGAAAATGATTGTTATAATAAATTTGTAGATCATATTTTATGTTTTGGCATAAAAGCTATCTAAATCTAAATATTTGGTTAATGTAACAAATTACATGTCATCTGTATGAGCACAAACAATGTGATTCGCAATCTTTTTATACAAATGACGTATTTTTTTTAAGTTTTTACCATCAAAGGCAAACTCTTCATATCTGGAAGCTTTAGAAATGACGATTTGTATACGTTTTGATATATAAACTGATGTTTTTGAGTACCATGACCATGCCTTGCCTAATACCATTTGCAGTCTTTAATAACTATTTTTTCCAGAATCCTATTTTTAGTATCACTTCAAATCCTTATAATGTGGGGAAGATCACATTTCTGGTTGCTCATAGTCTTTTAAGCTCATTATTACTGAACGTTTTACCAATTTAAATAATTAAATAATTAATAAATAATTTAAATAATTTTAGTAATTATTAGTAGGCCTATACGTTAAGTATGAGTACACGTATTGTGGATTACCACACGAAAAAAGAATGTATAACCTTTAAATATGTACAAAATGACTAAGCTTATAAAGACAAAAGATGTATAACCTATTGATAAAAAATCTTATACCATAGCCGGGCTACACTTGAACGAAATTATAACAAACACAGAGTGCCAGCAAAGCAAATATAGGGGCACTGATTGAATTGTTTTGTCAATACTGAGGGACCCACTACTGTACACTTTCATTGTGACTATTGGCCCGTCAAATGTTTTTGCAATACGATTATGAATCGAGTTTCCTTATAAAAAAGTATTCTTCTAATAAGTAAAAAATTCTGTTAATGCTATTAGTTTCTAACGAATTCAATTTTAGGATAGTCCCCAAGCTATGCTATCGTTAGATGTGCCGTATATTGCTTATACATATATTTTGCTTATAATGGACTAAATTATTATTTTATTCTTTATTTAATGTTGAGAAAACAGACTTTGGAGTTTTGTTATGTTGGTGACTTTTAACGTGAAGTTCACTGGCATTTTATGTGTCTGTCTATCCTCTAAACCATAATGGCTGACTATGTAAATAGTCTTTTATTTACGAAGCCCTTTGCTCAAACTTTAAAGTATATTCAAGGCAACATGCACATTGGTTTGGTGAGGTACAACCAATATTACGGTTGTTTGGTAAAAATAAACATTTAAATACTTAACCTATTCGAATAATATTTAAATTATTTGAACTGGCTGTGTTTTTATATCAGGAGGTCCCTCTCTAGGAATGTAATTTAGATATTTGGCTTTTAATATTTGTATGACATTTCAAAATAATTGCATGCATTATTTCTGTTACTTTCTACCTTATCACGGTTTGATGGAGCTTTATTTTTATAAATCTTTCTTTTATTTTACAACTGTATTCAGTAGCCAGTAGCATTACATAGGTACATATATGTACATATGGCCATTGACTATTGGATACTGAAGATATTGTATTGATAGTCAAATATATGGCACAATATTTATATATTACTACTGATAAATCATCATTCTCCACCACTTGTGACAAGCCAATATCACCACACCAATGCAGAGGTGCAGAGGGTCATAATCATTACATGATTATGAATTGCGTGTCCTTAAAGGGTTCAACGTAATTTTGTTTGTGCTTAGTTGTTATAGTTAAGTTTTTGGATTGTATTGCTGTGTTATGTAGAGCAATATAGTTGTTAAATATCAATTGCATTATAGGGGAGTAACGCTCTTTTGGAATGGAAATATAATCATTAAATGTTGCCACTTGCTTATGATTCTGTGTGGGATGGTGAACGTTGTTATGAACGACTAGGACGTGCAGATTTGGGTCGTCTCCCTTGAAAGACTAACTTTTCTGAAGCCTAAGTTTCACATAGAAGTTACTGAAACGGCAGATTTATCGCTGCCAAGCTGTAACGTACATACATGTTACACCCTTTTGTTTTATGTTTTACAATACTCATGACACTCAAGGTAACAATACATTTCCAATGCCAGTTAAGTAAATGTATTTAAAATTTAATACTAATGGATATGACTATAAATCACTATACAAATACTTTTTCCTGTACATAATATCATTATACCTGCTGAAAAAATGTGTAGCATTATTAAAACAGATTATTTATTACATCATTGAAACGGTTTTATTGTCATTATTTAGTGTAATTATTATTTACTGCAATTATTTATTGTAATTAACGCTTGTAGGTTATGCCTTTACAATTTGTATAGTGAGTATATAGCATGTAATAAGATATTCTATAATTTAAATTTATTCATGTCATATGATGATTAACCCTATTCACCAACTTAACTATACATAAATTATAAATTTTAAGCCGAGTTTAGCGAATGTGTGCAAAACGACTAGTGAACAGCTCAAGAATAATAGTCCACTGAAGAGGTAAGTAATTTCGTGCTGATATTCTTAGAAAATTTATGTTATCTACGGTCCCGAGTATTAAAGGTGGAAATAAAAAAAATCTAAATAGAGCATACGCTGTATGTTTTTTTTCGTTGGTAAATGTTGGTATAAAACATACATTTCTTCACTCGAAGTTGTTAGTAAGAGATACTACACATTAATGTCACCATTACGTATTCAGAATTCGTCACAATGAAAGCTCTTTCAAATTCAAAGTCAGATGTCGTCCTGCAGAATTTTAATTTACCCGGCAATGAAAAGAGTCGGTATTAGAAACCAGACAGAAATTAAGGACCTCGTTACTCTTTGCGAATTGAAATTCGAGAATCGCGTGACGGGGATGACCGCGTCTGCGGAAACAAGGTGAATTAGAGCTTTATTACTTAATTGTAGTATTCGATATAATCATCTTACAACACGAAATAATAATTATTGTATTTCTCATCTAAAAGCTTTCACGATATTAGTTGCGCGCGACGGTGTTCGGCAGCGCTCGGGGGTGGTCGGCGGGCGGAGTGGCACGGCGACTGCAACAGTCACTCGCCGACGATGGTGGCGCTCACCTCGTCACATACATGTGTGTGTGTCGTGTATGTGAGGTCGGTCTTAGCTCAGTGATGCTGCTCACTTTGGATAACGTGTTGCTCAGGTGACAGTCGCCAGTGCGCGTCCCACGTACTGTTCCTACTACCCAGTGCTGTGAACATGATAATACAAGTTGTTGTGTTGGTTTTTGTTTTTATTTGTGGTGTCAGTCGGTGTGAAAAGGATACTTTGATGGAAGATAAAGGTAAATTATTAAAGGTTATATAATAAAGGTGTACGTTTATAAAATGTAATTAACCTCTGCTGTCCTAAGCAAACTTCACTTATTACAAAAACGTATTATATCAATATACTACAAACATATAAAAATAAGCTAATACATAGCTGAATAAAACTTAATTAGAAGTGAAATATTATATATAATTTTTAATCTTATATTACAACCCTCATTTCATACTTGTTCGTAAAATACGAATTATAATACTTGTGCATTAATTATATAATGTGGATATTTAAGCATATTTAAATTTAGATAAATAATGCTTTGGAAAAAAATTAAAATCTGTTTCAAAACTACAATCACTTTAATAATACACATTTTCATAAATTAGAGAATAATATAAACTCAATAATTCATCTTGTCACATACGCTACAACATTGCATTCTAGAACTTTCATTATTAGCTGAAAGATTTTAATTTACAGTAAACCTATGACAAATGGATCGTTGCTAAATAAGGGGTATTTAAAGGATATATGTATTAAATATTACTTAATCAGCATTATGTTTATCAATATAAAAGCCGTGTCACCTTTCGTAATAACATTTTTTTTATATTTTTATCCCGGAGGTATTCCTGCAATAATACAAAATTAAAGAAATAAATCATACGATCCGTAATGTTGATTTGCTATTTTTAGTTTACTACAATTGAGTGAATGCAACATGGCTGCCTAGAATCACAATTATTTTTTTATGGTTGAAATTAATTATTATGTATTAGCTTCCTTTGTCTTTTGTATCTACAATTTTATACCCTATGTACATTGGCTTTCCAGTGTCAAAAATTGAAAAATTGCATTTAAAATAATTGTTTTATTATTTATCATTTAATAAAAAATTAATATATTTTAATGGGCGAAATATAACAACTAAATTCAATGTTAATCACGTTCTTAATTCGTAACGCTTCCAAGCTGTCAATGGAATTGTTGCTCATTCTTTCTTTAATACCTGTTATAATTGCTAACCATTAAGATTGCAAGCGACCTGTCAATATGTAATTTTATAATTGCTTAAACCTACTAAGCTCAAATTATTTTATAATTTATGAGATCTGTAGTGTTTCGAAAAATGTGCCCTTTGAAGGTCAAAAAAGAAGTTGATGGTTACTTGAACTAAAATCTATTAAAATAACTGTTTATGAAATAATAAGTCGTAAATTGAATTTGTGATACTCAGTTTTGGTGACCTTGAACTTTACTGTATGCATTATCTGTCCATAGTAAGCAAACCCGCGTACCTTTATCAGTATCTTCGCAATATAGAGTTTTTTGTGTTGTATAATTTTAAATAAAGGATATTTACTCTTAAGTATTATGAGTACTTGTTACAATGGATAACAATAGACCTAAAACTCCGAGTAAACCTGATACTCGTAAAGGGTGGTTTTAAGATATACCAAATTCTTAACTATACCGTTTGAAACATTTTAACTGTAATAAACTATGCATTCATAATTTTTAATTAAATCTCTTGTTCATATAAAGTGCCAAAAGAAAGGAAATTCACTATCAAGGCTTCATCCCGTGGGCTTTTAAACGCCCGTGTTAATGGAATGGAGTTATCTTTCCGTTTCAAATAAGCTGGCTGAAACATAATGTAACTGTCCAATATTTCAACCAAGGTTATAAATAGCAGGAATTTTTTGGCTTTTATATTTATTTATGTTAAAGCAATAAACTCGGTGAATCATGCTTTATTTTGTGTGACACGTTTTTGTTTATATTATCAAGCTATTAAATTTTACTATTTAAATTTTTTTCTTATAGCCTACTACTTAATGCATCTTTAACGGAAAGACAGCAACCTCATTAGCATTATATTCATAGAGAATAAAAATGTGTGTAGAATATCCCTGAATTTGTTTTAAACATATTTGTTATATTACAATTTTACATTTTGAAATATTTTCCAAATAGGTTTTCATAAATCGCCTATTTATTACAAATTGTGTAGACGATATAGTAGAAGATCAATTAGTATAAGTTAGTAAAGTACTTGACCTAGTCTGACTACCTTTGGCGCATTACTGTGGTTAAGCTACACGGTCTTCCTGTAATCAGATTATCAGGTGGTTAACGAATATTGGCTATGAGGACTGTTAGAGTGTTCGTGCTTTTTACACCCTCAAACACGTGCAATAATTTCAATTAGCTTTGCTACAACACGGGTTTTAGAAAATATATGATAACTATTTTTCACCACACTACAATGTTTATAGCCGTTTTACAAATGTTTATATGGAGGTTTATTGGAGAAAATTACGTTTTGCTGTCTATGCCAGTTGTCATTATCAATTGGGGACCGAGCAGGTTTTTACATCCCTAGGACCGAAAGTCAGCTGCTCACCTCCTTTCTTAAAACATTAATTAAATGCACAATCAGTATATATAGTGCAATGCTATGGATACTGATTGTGGATTTAATTAATGTAGAATTGTTTTATCGTCACATCTGCCTAGCTACTATGTATTATTATTTTTGCTGATTACTCAAACTATTTCTTCACATAACCTTAAAGTTATAGTTGTGTTGACTATCAGTGTGCATTATTATTGTAGTGAATAGTGGTAATATGGTATAGTGTGGTAAAAAATAACGTTTTTACCACGGACCGAAATGGTTTTGCGGCTCTCGATCGTTTTAAAAACTATCTCCAGCAGACAAAACCTCATTTTCGGCCCTAGGTAGGTAATATACTATTTAAAAATCATTATTTCTACACTACAAGTTTCGTTTAATATATCTCCATTTTAGTAGATTTACTTAAGAAAACACTTAACTATACAAGTAAACACTTGAATATGTCATTTTAGACATGATAACATTTTTTTACGTATTTTACCATGTTTATTTGAACGAGTTCGTGAACCAGAATGGTCGGACTACGGGAACAGGGTTCTATAGTGGTAAAAATTGTTTATTTTTATTTTTTACCATCAGAATTATTTTAATAGATTTAAGTGAAAATCAAATTAAGGAAACGAAAATCCATTTTTTTTGCAGTTTTGCTGTAGTGGGGTATTTATTAAAATTGATCTTTTTTAAACACAGATTGTTGCATAAGAAGTTTTAAGTGCTAAATAAGAATTTTCTTGAGAAATTGACAAAAAAACTGGAATCTGTTTGGAATCAGAGTAATACTAATTAAAATTACCTCAATTTAGAAAAAAATAGTTGCTGATAATTTTATGACAAAAAGTGCAATATTATTTTTAATAGTACACAACATTTCATATGTGCGTCTTAAATAGTTATAGAGATATACATTTTAAATAATAAAAAGAAAACAATATGTTGGATATTGTGCCAACTAGGAGTTTAGGAAAAAATATTCTTTTTACCAATTTAGGCTTGCGGGATACATTGTAATATTAATATTTTTGATGAAACTTTATGTTCTTCCTAGCAATAAAGGTATATTATTATATAAATTATAATTGTTTAAAATCAAATGAATAATGTAAGTATTTAAAACGTGACATTGATGTACAAACCTTTACGATACCTTAACTTCGGGTTGGAATTGAAAATCTGTTTTGTTTTATATGCTATATTTTCTTTTATGGACTTAAGGGGATAACTTTTACATCCATTTTCTCTAAATTGAACTAAACACTTCGCAGTTCAAGGGGTTTCTGTTATTAAACTAATTAAATATTTTTCCTACGTTTCTTTCTGTTGAGAATCAGAGTATTGTAATTAGCTTTCAACATTTTAATGTTAGAACCACTAACCAAATATGTTATTTATGGAGCCATAATAGCTGATAATATTTTTGTAATTTTAAAAAATACATGATCTTTTCTGAGTTGTATAAAATAGCAAAATTTAGTTAAATGAGATTAATAACTTAACTAATATTTAATTTAAACAACATACTTAATATAATATGCACTAAATATTTATAAAATTTTTACAACCATTTTTAATTTAACTAATGACTCAAACTGTCTAAAGACGATTGAAAGCAGTTACTGAAAAGCCAAGCACTCAAAACAATGCTATGTAAAAATGAGAGTGAATACTAGATACGGAAGAGACAAAGATACGGGAGAGGTAGAAGAGTGAATAAAAAGAGTTGAAATGTCCTTTATCTGGGAGAATGAATGACGGAGGTAAAGGTGTAGCTGCCTTGATACGGCCAGGGTTTATTTAAGTGTTCTGTTTACTGCGCTGTAAAGGATTTCCTGACCGCTACATCGGGCTTACAAATTTACTTTTAAACCAGCCAACCAACCACGTCGAGATCATGTTTTAATTAAATCTCTTTGACGCTTATTTGCTGTATTTTACCGAGCAACTGTTTTCTTCTAAGGGAATTAACCTCAACATTTATGTGATGGGTTTAACGTAAAATCTTTCTGAAATTTGGTTTTTGTTTTATAAATGAATAAATATTTTTTGTTAACAATTTGAAATCAACCTTAAAAGTAATCGTATTATATAATGTTTTTATTTCTGCACATCCATTTTGAATAGCTTGTTTCAACCATAATTTCAAATTTACTTTAGGCGGATAACTTTGGACTGTGAACAACACATTCATTAACATTGTCATCTTCAAAGGCAAAGTTTATCTTTTATTCATAATTTGCATCGCTAATCTAAACCTTGTTTAGTCTTACAGAGACGTAAAAGGCTTTCGCTCGTTATTCTGTTTGTTGATCAAGTAAAAGGCAAGAAATGTCACAGGGTCTGTATAAAATAGGTTTTCAAAAACGATGAAAAACAAAAAAAAAACACTCTTACACTAAGCAACCAACACAATCCCTTTGGTCGCTGCTTATCAATATGTTATTATTTCTATTTTATTAATGATCGTATAAAAAATACAAATTAAATGTAATGTATGAATTTTAATTGGACAAGCATTATTTATACTTACAATTTATAGGATCACATTAAACTACAAAAAACGTCTTAAAAGTTTGTTTCTAATATTCTAACATTATTGACCA